AGTGATGCGTCTCTTCAAGCTGACGCGCCACATCTCCGGACTCAAACTCCTCATCCTCACCTTCAAGGCGAGCGCCAAGGAGTTCTCACTTTTAATCTTCTTTTTGGTCGTTTTCATTGTCATCTTTGCCGCCCTTATCTACCAAGCCGAACGGTTAAACCCAGCTCCTCACAACGACTTCACCTCGATACCGATAGGTCTATGGTGGGCGATTGTCACCATGACAACAGTCGGCTATGGAGACATGGTGCCGAGATCTTACGCTGGTGAGTCAGTTTGCTTAAGTGTACCTATGAACTCATCACCAAATCTACATAATTAAATTGTCGAGCTTACTTTCATTTCGAGTGAAAGTGTTGGGTGAAGAGATTCAAAGGTCGGTTCAACCAGAAGACGATGAAGGATTGCTCTTGACCAGCTAATGCTTGGCTTTACAGGCAGATGCATGCTGATGTTGTTTCCGAGGTTGTCTCCCTCTCTAAACCGCCCAAAAGGTACTAAGCTTTCGTCCGTCATATGACGGACATCATCGGAGAAAAGTATCATCGTCACAACCAAATTCAAGCTAGCGCGTCAAGAAAACTCACCTGCAGAACCCTAAAAAGTGGTATATATACTCTGCATCCGGCTTCTTTGATCAAGTTTAAAGTGATTTGGTTAGTTAAGGTCATATATCAACTTCGATGCCTGTGAGTGTGTCTGTCTCTGTATGCGTATGTGCCTGTTTGCGTTCGCTTATGCACGAAAGCCGAAGTGATGGCTCGAAGTAATGATGACAGCAAAAAGGAATGTCAATTTTTGGCTATCAAGGTTTGATGTACCTTATCTCCTCCTTTCTACATTTAAATTATAACCATCAATCCGATTGCGTAAGGTCGGACACTCTTCCGGTTTTGTTGATAAGCATTTTTGTTTTTTGTTTTTGGTCTCAATTGGAGAGAGAAAGAGTGAGCTAAAAGTACAGAGAAGTGACTTTGATTAGAACTATGACAAGAAAGTACCATGAGATGTATTCACTCAATTTCGTTAAGGTTGTGAAAGACTGGTAGAAGAAGAATTTTCCAGTACCTCATCATCTTAAACGAAATTGGGTGAATACATCTCATACTACTGATTTACTGGTAGTCACGAAAACAATACTTACTTCGAAAAATAAAGAAAGGACTAGTTGCGTCGCCTCCTTTTACTCGAAATGGAAGTAAGCTTAACAATTAAGCAATAATGTGAGCACATGACGCTACGTGATGCAGAGGCGGACAGTGGAACTCTCCAAGTTTTATGCGTTTGCGTTACGACAGCATAAATTTCGTTTGTTCTTGTTTCCCCTCTCCCCTCCCCTCCTCTCTCAATTGTTTGTTCCCTTCCGACTGGATGTCCATTTTTACCTCATTAACACCTTTAGCGAGATTCGAAACCGGTTCTATTCTACACTCCAAATTCACATCTTACAAACGTCAAAGTCAAGCCTTATCTTCATCTCATCGTGGACAGAACCAACGCCACTGGCAGGGTCAACATCAAGCCATCTCCGCTAAGAACATGACAGTTTACGTTTCTAAGTAAAATTACCAAACGACCGGTAAATCAATTATATGAGATGTATTCACTCTATTTTGCTTAGGATGATGAAGGACTGATAGTTCAGTTTTCCCACAATGCCATGTTAGACCTTACATTTACTTTCAATTTCGCATAGCCTTGCTCTGGTGTTCTCATCCAGGTTGAAGTGAACTAACTGCAGCTTCGAGCTCGCTTAGTTCTTATCATCTCGCCCAACGGGACTCGAACCATGACAGTGCAGCATGTTATCTCGATACTTTAACCACTAAGCGACATCATCATGATTGTCATTGGGTGAATACATCTCAAATATCCGATTTACTGGTAGTCTCAAAATTCTACTTATGAACAATTAGTAAGTAATGTAGTCGATTATCATGGCAAATAGAACTTTGTTTCATCCACAATCCCACCAAAGAATGTTTTATGAGGAATTGGCTGACCTTCTTTGAAATTCCCATCTGCCATGTGACCCAATGGCTCTCGTGGAAATGTGAAGTAGTGGCTAACCGGTCGGGATTACACGCTGCACTGTCATGATTCGAGTCCTGTTGGGATGTTGATAAGGCCTATGCGAGGTTGAAATTGCAGTCCACTTCAGCCGGGGGGAGAACACCTTTTGGGACAGAAAAGCTATGTGAAATTCTATAGAAACGGCAGTTCTACCCATTTCATTGTGTGAAAATTTTACTATCAGTCTTTGTTCACCTTAAACGAAATAGGGTGAATACATCTCGCATGACATTTTAGTCAACGCAATTGCCTAGCGAAGTATGGTAGAAGCAAGCGTTAAAAAGAGAGGCTCTCAACCAAAAACTGGCATAGATTTACAGAAAGTGCACATAGTCAGACCAAGTCCATGGACAAGGTGCTTCCAACTAAGTCGCCCTGACAACAAGAACAAGTTGTGAAAACGAGGTCAACCCACTTGTGGAATTGCTAAAGTGTGTTATCCTATCACTTACAGGCTCATTTTATGACCAGATTTTACTCTTCCTCTCTTTTCTATTGACAGCATAGGCCCAAATTCAATGAATAAGTTCCCTCCTGCTGGTTGGGAAAGCATAGGATGGTGTCTGAGGGTAGGAGGCCTCGTAGCATGTAGACAGCAATTTCTGATTTACCAAAAACACTTAGACGGAGGCTGAATTGGTAATATTTATTTTCAATTAGGCAAACATTCAAAGTGTCTGTACGTGTTCTCATAGCGACTTGAAAGAACATAGTCCGTACTGAGCCCCCGGCTGGCGCCGACATGCCACGTGTTCCGCCAGCATTGAAACGGTCCGATCATGGAAGAAGACATGACATGACTGGAAGAGGCGTTAGGGACTATAG